TGAAACACTGTATTATTCAATGTATGCATGAATTGTATTCACATAACAACAGTTGACACATAGATATCACTATTCAATGAATTCTGTGTTTCAATCGTAACATTGAATACAATTTCGATGAAACATAACATTTGATACAGAAATACAGGTTTGAAGTGAAAAGTGATTGAAAATGTGTTTTTGAAACACTGTCTCATAAATTGAAATCACTTTTTCATTTGAAACAACTTTTTCCTTAACAACACTTACGGTGACTATCAGTCACACAATCTCTAAGTTTTTTGTGTCAATCGTTTAGTGAGTGTTTGTTTCATACGATTAGCACAATATATCGATTACTAATAGCTATCTCTCACTCATTGTCTCCCAATTGTGTCCACAGTTTGTGTCCCAAGTGTCTGCAAATGAGTGTCAATTCCGGGAAGCGATTCATTGCAAGGATCTTACGGATCATTTTGGACGCAATCGCCGCACTCATTGGCTTCAGATATCCCACGAAACAGCGATATCTGCCGCCCATTGATAGTCCCATTCTTCTGGAGTCGGCCACGAGTCTCGCCCAACAGATCAGATCCGCTAAAGTATTACTCATTACTCCGTTATTTACCATTGCATACCATGTATGACATGACTATTATGGCATACATGTGCCCTTTGAATGGCTTTCCGCACATTTGTTATTCATGTTATGAATGCATGAATACCTGACCTTCAAGTGCCGTCTATTTTGTGTCTAAATACAGAGTTTGAGTACATTTTTATCCGTAATTACCGCTAATTTTTAGTGTAGAAGTTGTGCTAATTTGGGCTATTATTCAATATTTCATTTGTTAGTAGTTTTACCATTCATTCATTCATTTCTCGTTTGCAAACTCTTTGAAACTTATCATAAGTTAATGTGTTTTACGTCTCAAAGTCCGATATTTGTACTCATTTTTTGTACATTCATTACTAAACACTTAGGTTATTAAATAATTACTCTAATGATACCCTAACAACTCGCTAATGTATCTCTCGAGTGATAATCTATTAATTCCTAGACATTTTACAGACAATATATGGCATATTTGAAAAAAATCGCTACAAATATTTCTAGATTTTTATACCAATGAAATTTTTATTTTTAATTCTCTATACTTCAGTTACTCTAAAATTGTATCAAACTATTTATACCTAATAGCTATAAATTTTAAAACTAAAATCTATAATAGTTGAACCACTTCTAACTGACAAAATACTTTAATTATTGTATACTGAGCCGGTATTATTGAATTTTGACACTGATGATTGATTGGAAGTTTAAGTAAATTATAATTTCAATTTAATAGCACATAATAAAACAGTTACCAAAATATCAGTATGTAACTTAGGATACAAATATATGACAACATTATTTCTCTAATTCCTTAATGACATAAAAATTGTGGTTATTATGTTATTATAAGGCGGGAAATCATGTAAGTGAGTGAAGTATCTGGAAGCCATTGCAATCAATATTAATATCGATCTAAACATAAAAATATAAAAATCTGTTATATTTTGCAGTTAAAGAGCGAAGAGGTTGTGAAGGCTTTCATCGATCGGTGCCGTGAAGTGAATCCACACCTCAATGCCATCATTCAGGATAACTACGACAAAGCCATCCAAGAGGCCAAACAGGTGGACAGACTGGTTCGAAGGGTTCTCGATGGGGAATTGGCGCCGGAATCATTGGATTCGCAGCCATTCCTTGGCGTCCCCTTCACGTGCAAAGACTCGATTGCTGTGAAAGATGTTTATTGGACTTCCGGTCTCTACACGAGGAAAGGGATCACCGCTACAGATGATAGCGAAGTGATCACTCGGATGCGAAAGTCCGGCGCTATTTTCATTGCGATGACTAATATACCGGAACTGGGGATGTGGTGGGACTCCTATAACAAACTATAAGGAAAGGGATCACCGCTACAGATGATAGCGAAGTGATCACTCGGATGCGAAAGTCCGGCGCTATTTTCATTGCGATGACTAATATACCGGAACTGGGGATGTGGTGGGACTCCTATAACAAACTATATGGCCGGACGTACAACCCCTACGACAAGTCCAGAATATGTGGAGGCAGTTCGGGAGGGGAGGCGGCGCTCATATCGGCCGCCGGTTCTGTGTTTGGGGTCTGTTTTGTAATGATTTGTGATTTTATTAAAATGTTTTAATTTTGTAAATTAATGCTCGAGTAGGTGGGCGCTGATATCGGCGGCTCTATCCGTATGCCATGTTTTTTCTGCGGTATCTTTGGTCATAAGACAACTCCAGGAGTTGTGTCCACTGATGGCATGTATCCCGAAGCGTCGCCTAAACGCCAGGAGCTCCTCTCTATCGGACCTGTAATTTAATTATTTGCTAAAAATAATAGATTTATTTATTTATTGTTTATTGTCTCATAAGATGTGTCGATACGCGTGTGATTTGAAGCCAATGCTGAAAGTGATGGCCGGAAGCAATGGCGCGAAGTTAGAGTTAGACAAAGCCGTGGATCTCAAGAAACTCCGGTTTTATTACATGGAATCCGATGGCAACTCATTTCACACACCCATTCAGCCTGAGATAAGGGACGCCATTCACAAAGTGATCGGTCATTTCAATAAGACGGGCGCCTCCTCTAAGAAAGTCTATTTCAAGCAATTCAAGTACGGCTTAGAGATGTGGTTGACGGCCATGAAAGACCCGACGACTCCCAAAACTGCCCGCCATTTGGCTAATCTTAAGGGCGAAATCAATCCATTGGTCGAGTTCTTTAAGTCGTTGGTCGGCGCCTCCAATCACACGGTCTGTGCCCTCACTCTCTGTATATCGGAATTGATTGCGAAGTCAGTCAACAGAAAGAGATTCGACGAAATGCGACAGAATTTGATCCAAGAATTGCATCAACTCTTAGGTTTGTGACAATAGTTTGCAAGAATTGATAGGAATTTATAATTTAAGAATTGATTGCGAAGTCAGTCAACAGAAAGAGATTCGACGAAATGCGACAGAATTTGATCCAAGAATTGCATCAACTCTTAGGTTTGCGACAATAGTTTGCAAGAATTGATAGGAATTTAAAATTTATTTATTTCTTGTAATGCAGGCAAAGACGGAATTCTAGTATTTCCCGCACATCCAGAAGAAGGTATGCATTGAATTGCAAATAAATGGCTTTATTTTCATTAGATTTAAATTGAATTATTATTTTTTATGCAACGAATTAGCCGTAAAACACAACTCAACTCTCCTGAAGGTGTGGAACGTGTCTTACACTCAACTCTTTAATACCCTCAATGTTGCCATCACTTCAGTGCCGTTAGGGCTGAGCAGAACTGGTCTCCCGATCGGCCTTCAGATCATATCTTCTCCATTGAACGATAGGCTAACCATTGCTGTGGCCGAAGAGCTCGAGCGAGCCTTTGGTGGATGGGTTAGCCCTTCAGATATCAATTGCTAGACTACTTATAACTTATCTTAAAATTTAGATAATAGTTATAAAACTAATTAAATATAACTTATATTGACTTCAATTAATGGCCGTAACTATAATTGTCGTGCATTTGGAGAGCATTATTAGATACAATTATAAGCTTTAACTGCATTAAACTATTTTTTAATAACCGGTTATAACTGTAATGACAAGTGTTATAAATTATATAATTTTTCAATTAATATAAGAGTTTCCAAATATTAGCACAATTTTCTTAAATTTATTACATTTATGAATAAGCGGTAAATATTTGCTTATATTGTTATTGTATACAGATACTGAATCGCGGTAATATTGAATCTACTGTTAAGTTTTGTTATATTAAAGCTTTTTAAAGAGACATTTTGATTGACATATAATTTGATGTTTTATAAAATTGTAATAAAATTTGATTTAAAGCCAAAAATAGTGTAAGTGATTGAAAAATGAAAATAATAAGAGTTTTTGTGATATACCGGTAATTCTCTATTGAATTGGAGCACAAATATGGGGTCACTATTAGAAAGATTTGTAACAAATTTTTATTGCACTTAAAATGTTGCTTTTTGATCTATATTTGAAGGTAAACGCAAAATAACAACAAAAAGTGAAAGTAATTCATAAAATGATGTCCAAAAAATAAATAATATCTAATTAATGTCATTAAATATAGTCCATCGGAAATGGCATCGCTTGTGAAATAGCACTCAAAATAGTTATACCGTATCATTAGTATTGGGGCCAAAAGTAATGAAACTATATTTACGTGGTATAAATACCGTTATAAAAAGTGAAAACTGATTAATTTGATTATCGATACGAAAAATAAAAACAAAATTTAAGCAAAAAAGTTCAATATTTGCGATCAAAAATGTCGATTAGATTAATGTTTAAATTTGTAAATTTGTTTTGTATTATATGTTGCGTTCTGTGTGTTGACTGGCCTTATAGGGACTGCGGTAAGTGTCGAGAAAATTATTTTTAAAACTTTTTTAAACTTAATTTCACGAAATAAATTAGGAAAGCATGAGATAAAGTCGTTGCGAATAGATCCCTGTGCCAAAAGGCCCTGTAGTTTCCGTGCGGGAGAATCGGTTAACATAACCGTTGAATTCGTTGCCAATCAGGACTCAGATCTCGTCAAACTGTACGGCTCTCTAAGGACAGGCGGTTTGTTTGATGTGGAGGTGCCATACATCGGGATGGACGAGAATGCCTGTAATAAGGGGTACAATAAGAATAAGTTGGACTGTCCACTCGAAAAGGGAAAGACATACAAGTTCACTTTAGTCCAAACTGTTCCCTATTCTAGTCGTTTCAATGTAAGTTTAACTTTGATTTTGATTATGAAACATACACTACATTATAAAATATAATTTATTATATTTTGTATCCAGGTCTTCAGATATACGACTTGGAGATTAGTGAGCAGTGCTTATAAGGACCTGACATGTGCTGAGTTTGACATCTATCAGGACATCGCCCTTAATAGATATTTCTCACAATTTGCTGAACGACTCAATTAATAAAATTTAATATCAAATCATTGCTTATAAGAAATTTCCACAAACAGCTAACTTTATTATTATTTAAATAAATTATTACCTTTAGTTCTATATTAAAAATATTTGTCAATGAAGTTTATAAAGTGAAATAAATAAATTTTCCTTGGATGAATGCGTATCAAATGGGTGAAAATCTTAAATTAATAACAACTTGAACTAACTTCTAGTATAAGAGTTATTGTAATAAAACATTTGTAATTTTATAGAGAATTTTCGGCCAAAGATAATAAAATAAAAATGTTGTTAATAAATGTGTCACCCATTTTATTTAGAAATATGGTTATAATTCAAAAAATAAAATTGTTTTTTGTCTATTTATGGGTGACATTGGCTCTAATTGCATGATAGTTACATAAACATCTCTTACATTAACCATGCATTTTGAATAATTAGGTAAAATCCTAAATCAAAAAATATAATGTAAGGTTAATAGCTTGAGTGGTTAGGTAATGATATTATTTCAGGAAAAAACATTTTAAATATAATAAAAACTTCGGATATCCTTTCGAGTGGTTTATGAAGGTTAGGCACTTGTCTTAGACTTTCTACCAATTCTTGAAAAATTTTGTTTAAATTCAACTCAAAGAAACAAATACAATACACCAGGTATTCAAGGTGATAATTAAACGTACATTTATTTCAAATGCCTAACGTTATGCTATAATTCACACCAATTTTGTGTCACATAAAGAGACAAGTGTCTTGTTAATACAGCTATTTTTAAAAATTTAAGTTATTGAGTTTAAAATAAATAAATATAAATGTAAAGTAATCTCTAAACAGTGTGTCTGTTTATATAAGTCAAACATATCAAATATAATGGTGCGTTCAGGACATGAAGTCGATGTGGACCTACCTATTGGTGAAGAGATCCGATTCTTTGGTCATTTATTCTTTGAGATAACAGTATATTATTGTGAATACTATATACAAAATATTTATGGCTTCATCCGAAGTAAAACAAGAAATGCCATCATTTTTGGTCAAAGGATAAGATTATTGCTTCAAAAGACTAATCATTTGAATTAAAATTGATCATAAAATGTGATATAAATTATTTATCAATCATTTAGTCATGTTTGTATAGTATAACTGAATACTTTATAATAATTACTGTATATCTTTCTATAAATAAATTTTTTAAATAATTCATAACAATATGATTAAAATTTTATTCAAGTGACTCGTCGTATAAATTATGTATTGAATGTTATAACTTATAACAATAATAAAACAGTAATGTGTTTTACAAATCAAACTACACTTAACTGAAATAAATTATGATTTAAGTCAGCATATGATTTGTTCAAAGACATTAGACATGTGAAAGTACTTAATATTTTTTATTTGAATTTAATAATTTAATTGGTTGATTACTAACATTAATAATAGAAAAGGGTTTTTAAAAAATATTCCCCGATAAGTTTTCTTATCAGATTATTTTAACTACTTAGTATTCTAATAACAGTTTAAGTTAAACCTTTTATGTTGAAATTTAGAACACTAATATTTTAGCCATAACAATAGGTGTTCATAACGTTTTCGTAATTAAAAATTTTTAAGTTAATCAAAAATCTAAAACTATATCAGAAAATAAGGCCATAGTATACAACAAAATCATTACAAACAAACAAAAATAACTAGAAAAATTTTTGTAAATGAATCTGAACTCAGATATCAATTATTGTCTTATTTTTACTCTTTATTTTGATTGAAAAGAAAACTCAAACTCCGGAGTGAATGCATAACTCGTTTTTCCAGATTCCCATCAATACATGTGTCCAATGAGTACAACAATCGACTACTAAATCCACTCTCGGTTTTAGCGTTAGTTTCTCCAAACGGAAAGTTAGCTTCAAAAACATGTATCCAATGAATAGCAAAATGGATTCAAACAAATTCAGTTCATTAATCTGTAAATGTTTTTATAGACTCGGCGTATGTTTTGTGTCATTTTTAGTGCTATTATATTGCAGTCTATTGTCACTAAAATAATAAAAATGTAATATGACTTTATATTACGAATTTGATTGTAACGGTAGGCGCCCTTGACTGCCAGTGCTATAACCGCCGATACCGTACAATATCTTAACGCTATTTATAAGTATGTCGTGTGACGTATAGGAAAACTATAGATAATTGTATAACTGTAATATAAATATACAGTGCTGGAAAAAAATATTTATTTTATTATTAAATCAAATATAAAACTCTAAACACATAAAAAGTGTTGAATTGTGTGAAACGATTATAACTATTAGGATATATGAACTGAAACTTGAATGAAAAAAGTCAAATGCAATGCCTGTGAAGACTATGAGATACTATGCGTTGCGAACCATCAGAATATTTGCCGACTTTTTCACCTCTTGCATAGGAATCGTGTATTTTGTGAATAAAAAATATTTGCCACCACTTTCTGATGGACTACTTCTGGAACCGGCCGTTCACTTAGCAAATAGGATCAGATCTGNCCATCAGAATATTTGCCGACTTTTTCACCTCTTGCATAGGAATCGTGTATTTTGTGAATAAAAAATATTTGCCACCACTTTCTGATGGACTACTTCTGGAACCGGCCGTTCACTTAGCAAATAGGATCAGATCTGGACAGGTATTGTATACCTAAATGTGTCAAACCTATGTGCATGTGATTAGACTTTCGCTTTCTTTTACTTTTAACGAGAATTTTTGAATTATTTTCCATAAACTTACTGCAATAATATTTATGCTCATATATTATATTATACTATATATTATATTATATCATATATTATACTTATATATTAAATATGTAAATTTTGTTGACATTTGAGTTTTCATTATTAGTTTGCAATTAATATATCCGTCTCTTGTTTATCTATTTATTTAACATTTTAAATGTCATTAAAATTTTACAATTTTATTCTGCTGTACATTATTAATGTTACCGGTACTTGTATATGTATTGTAAAGTCACTTACTACTAGTTCAGAATATAATTAGTGAATACTGTAATTATTGACTTTTATATTGTATAATTTGAGGTAAATTATAATTTTTAATTTGTGAATATTTTGTGCAATACATGCAGATTATAATACAATAAGTTGTATAATTGTATTTATATTTATGATGTAGATTATTATTAAATAATAATTATATTATAATTATCTCAAATGAGTAAACATCTGTATTGCTAAACAACGGAATCTTATTGTTATTTTCTTAATATAATATTTTCATATATAATTTTGTGGTTACATTTTGAAAAACATATTTTTGAGGAAATATTTACAATAAATATTACAGTATTTGAATGATAAAAATATATTTAATAGAAATATCCTGTTTTCTATCAGCCAAATGAGTAATAAGGAAATATTGACATAAAATTAATTATTTTGTATTTGTCACATTTAATCTTAATTTGGATAATTGATATTATTTCAGGATTTATGTAATAAAATATTAGTATTAAGAAATCATATTGTTATCAAGTTTCTATTTTATGATAATAATTATTATTTCATAAATAATAAAATGAATTCTAGATTCTAACAAAAATGTTAATATCCTTTTAATAAATCAAAGGGAAAGCATAAAAATAATAAATTATTTAAACGGAATTTCCTTCACTATAAGGCGACAGCATTTACTAATAATAAGTTACATATCTGTTTAAAATGATTATTAATTAGCTTTAAGGTTATATAAATTTAAATAATATTGAAGAC